CTTTGATCCACCCCCCAAAGAACTTTTTCAATATTTTGCTACTCAAAGTGTGGTTCATGGACAAGGAGCATCACAGACGCCCCTCAGGCCTGCTGAATCACAATCTGCGTTTTTGACAAAATCCCCAAGGGCCTATTCTCACTTTTTATTATTTCACTTCAGTTTTTGTTTAGTTCTTACACTTAGCTATAACTTGGGGGCGATGGCAGTGGGATTCCCTATTATTTTCAGCATTTAGGCAGCCAGTCATAAAAAGCAAAAACATTCCTACTTCACACAGCATTGCTCCTCCCCACAGCGCACAGCAGCAGGCACAGCAGGAAAGCCATCCACCCTTCTGGAGCCTTGATTCACTTCTATGAGGCTGCGAATCACACACCCTCCCCTTCCTCTTGCATGCCATCAGACTGACTCCCCTGTTTCACAGCCCTGTTGTATATTGATTAATTATCAATCACAGCCCCATGTCTTGTTCCTTTCTACCAAACAGTACATATCTCCAGGACTGGTACTGAATCTCTTATTCAACTTTTTTAAATCTCCAAAGCCAAATTCAGTGCCTGGTAAAGGACAGGATTTCGACAGTGCCCTCTCTTTTAAATTAATGAATGAAAAGAATTAACTTTATCACTGATTAACTAATTCATGAAATTTCAAATACACGCAAAAATATTTTACCTACTTCTGAAGTTTAAAAATTGTAGTATATATTTTCACAGCCAAATCAATTTGTTTCTCCTACAGTCTACTTCTATTAGGTTGATTTCAAAGATTTCAGTCCATATGATAGAAAAATAAACAAACATAATACAAAACTTTACCTACTTTTTCATTTCTAATGCATATGCTTCTATTAACATCCTGTCTTAATAATCTTTGAATCCCTAATGATTCTTATAGTTTCTGGTACATAATATGCACTCAAATATTTGTTGAATAAGTTGTTTTTCAAACTACCAAGAGCTTGTTAGCATATTACAATTAATGAAAAAAAGTTCCAATGCAAAACATTTTAATAGGTTGTCAAATATACAGTTATTAGAATTATCTAAATAT